CCCCGTCTCTACTAAAAATACAAAAAACTAGCCGGGCGAGGTGGCAGGCGCCTGTAGTCCCAGCTACTCGGGAGGCTGAGGCAGGAGAATGGCATAAACCTGGGAGGCAGAGCTTGCAGTGAGCTGAGATCTGGCCACTGTACTCCAGCCTGGGTGACAGAGCGAGACTCCGTCTCAAAAAAAAAAAAAAAAAAAAGAAAAACTTGGCACTTTGAGCTACATTAAAATTAACAATTTCTGTTCATCAAAAGATACCATAAAGAAAATGAAAAACAAGCCATAAATTGGGGGTATATTTGCATACACATAACCACAAATAAGTGGCAGCATATAAAGAATATAGATATGTATTAAATTTTGACAAATCAATAATAAAAAGACAACCTAGGAACAAAATGGACAAAAGATATGAGCAGACCTTTCAAAGAGAAAATGCATATGGTGGATAAACATATGGAACAATAACCAATCTCATTAGTAGCTATACTAATTTGCATTTAGCATCCAGATGAACTGCACTATTTTATACCCTCTAGGTCTGCATTGTGCAGGAATTAAGAGCACAGACTCTGGAGCCAAATCCTGGCTCCTCCATGGACTTGAGAAGGTAGCAACATCTCCATACATGCCTCAGTTTTCTCTATGGAAAAAGGAACATTAACCCAGCAAAATCCGATTGGAAGTTGGCTACCATTATTCCCCCCGCTCCTGTTTCCATTCCGTCAACTTCAAATAGTGCTACCTAATATCTTAAACAATTGGATTTTTTGGACTTCATTTATAGGATTATGGCAGGATTTGGCTGTGATAACTAATTCATAAGTATTGTATGAAAATTAACATATAATGAAACTGTGTCACAGTCATTCTCTACCCCAGTGGGCTTCAAATTTTTATTTTGCTTACATATATTTAAAAATAATCTTGAAAAATTATATACCCTCTTTGCACACTTTAAAACTTAGATTTAAAATTCCTCAGCACGGCCAGGTGTGGTGGCTCACACCTGTAATCCCAGCACTTTGGGAGGCCAAGGCAGGTGGATCACAAGGTCAGGAGTTGGAGACCAGCCTGGCCAATACGGTGAAACCCCATCTCTACTAAAACTACAAAAAAATTAGCCAGGAGTGGTGGCAGGCACCTGTAGTCCCAGCTACTCGGGAGGCTGAGGCAGAAGAATAGCTTGAATAGGTTGCAGTGAACCGAGATCATGCCTCCAGACTAGGCGATCATTGCACTTCAGGCTAGGCGAGAGAGTAAGACTCCGTCTCCGAAAAAAAAAAAAAAAAAAATCCTCAGCACAAGTTCAAATAGTTGCACAAGATACAACTTTACACCCAGCATAGTGTAAATGTTGACCTTTTAAAATAAATGATTACATTACTCTTTTAAATGCACCCAACAGAATCTGGAAATCTGCAATTAGTTGCCCTTCCATATTCATTTTAAAAATCATATATGATGAAAAATATCTTTTTGTTTGTTTGTTTCTTTTTTTTGAGACGACGTCTAGCTCTGTCGCCCAGGTTGGAGTGCGGTGTCTTGATCTTGGCTCACTGCAACCACTGCCTCCCGGGTTCAAGCGATTCTTCTGTCTCAGCCTCCTGAGTAGCTGGGACTACAGGCGCCCGTCACCACGCCCAGCTAATATTTTTGTATTTTTAGTACAAACGGGGTTTCACCATGTTGGTCAGCCTGGTCGCGAACTCCTGACCTCGTGGTCCGCCCGCCTCAGCCTCCCAAAGTGGTAGGATTACAGGCATGAGCCACCGAGCCCGGCCAAAAAAAATCTTATGTTGATGACACTATTATGTGTCTCTGCAACAAAAGTATAGCTAAAAATGGAAATGGAAGGCCGCACTGGCGCCCGCCTGAGGAGAGGAACGCCAGCCGGTCAGACCTCGGCGGGGCCTGCAAGCTTCGCTGGATCACTCGCTCCCGCCTCCCGCCCGGTGCCCGGCCATGGCAGAGCCCTTGTCCGCCCAGCGCCCAGTGCCTCTCGCGGACTCGGGGCTGTGCTTCCTCATCGCCCGGTACCTATCGGCGGGCTCGTGTAGGAGAGCGGCCCAGGTGCTGGTGCAGGAGCTGGAGCAATGCCAGTTGCTGCGGAAGAGGCTGGACTGGGAGGGCAACGAGCACAACAGGAACCACGAGGAATTCGTCTTGTCCAGTAAGCATGTGGCTCCTGATCATCTATTGCAAATCTGCCAAGCGCATCGGTCCTATGTTGGATAAAGAAATTCCGGCTGGGTGCCGCGGCTCACGCCTGTAATCCCAGCACTTTGGGAGGCTGAGGCGGGTGGATCACCTGAAGTCGGGAGTTCGAGACCAGCCTGACCAACATGTTAAACATATTCAACATTTAGTACATTTTTTTGTACTAAAAATACAAAAAAATAGACGGGCGTGGTGCCACTTGCCTGTAATCCTAGCTACTCGGAAAGCTGAGACAGGAGAATCACTTGAACCCTGGAGGAGGAGGTTGTGGTGAGCCGAGATTGAGATCGCCATTGCACTCCAGCCTGAGCAACAAGAGCCAAACAACGTCTCAAAAAGAAGAGGAAACAGAAAAAAAAAAAAAAAGAAATTCCACCCCGTATTTCAAGAGTCGCTTCTTTGTTTGGTGCAGGAAGGCAGCCTTAGCTACTTACAGCAAAACGTGACTTAATTTGAAGAACTGTTGTGCTTTGCATTAATAGCTTAATAATGATTATAATTGTGAAATAATGTAAGCATTATGGAAAAAAGATGATAATGTAACTATAAATCATGCAGTGTACTATAAAATTCTCTGCATTTAGCATAGAACATTGAATTTCATTACATAAGTGTTTAATGGGCCCTTCCGTAGTAAAAAGTTGACAAAGACGTAGGTGTTAAGCTAAAAAGCTTGAATTTATTCTGAGATGTGTTTGAGGTTTTATCAATGTGAGTTCTTAATTTTCCATTTTGTAGCTCACTCATAACTTCATTGAATGTAATTGTATGTGTCTAAAAAACTCTTTAAATGCTAGAAGTATTTCATTTGATACTTGGATTCTGAAAGCCCTTGTTTATAAAGGGAAATTATTTTTCTTTTGCAAAGTTATGTGCTAGCAAAATGTTTGAAATTGCTATTCTTTTTCTGTTAGCTTGGTATATATGATTTAGACTAAGTATATGTATGTGATATAGTCTATGCGTACATGTGGCTAAACTGCTAATGGGCAAAGATCGTTGGGTCTTCTGATGCTGAGCATACATCAAGTTCACCCCATGATTATTTTTTATTACGAGTCATTGCTGATGTGATGCACCACCAATATAAAACTTAACTGAGGCCAGGCACGGTAGCTCATGCCTGTAATCCCAGCACTTTGGGAGGCCGAGACCAGCGAATCACGAGGTCAGGAGATCGAGACCATCCTGGCCAACACGGTGAAACCCCGTCTCTACTAAATATACAAAAAATTAGCTGGGCGTGGTGGCGGGCGCCTGTAGTCCCAGCTACTGGGGAGGCTGAGGCAGGAGAATGGTGTGAACCCGGGAGGCGGAGCCTGCAGTGAGCCGAGCTTGTGCCACTGCACTCCAGCCTGGGGGACAGGGCGAGACTCTGTATCAAAGAAAAAAAGAAAAAAAAAGCTTAACTGAGAAAGAACAACCCTTCCTCTCGGTTCCATGCCAGGCTGGTTTGTTAGCTTTAGTTGTTTCTTAGTGCTCTAGCCATGCCGCCCTGTGGCACTCATCAGGACACTGTTTATATTCTTCCCATTCACTTTGTAATTATTCTATTTTAGCTGGTTCTATGGTTGTAGTTATTTGGTAGCCTGTTTTCCTTTGTTTTCTGTACTTGTGTGAAGCTCCACGTCATTGTTTTGTGATGAGCAGTGATTTAGAGCTGGCAGATCTTGGAAGGGACTTCAGCAAGCTGCCCTAGGGTAGGGACCATATTCTCTATTTGTTTTGTACTAGTGCCGCAAAAGGATGCCTTGTAACTTACAGTAGCGGCAATGAATCCATTCATGTAAAATACAACATGGCTGTTAGTTTGGGGAACCCAAGGCTCAGTAGAGGTTTAGTATGATACCTTCCCTCTCTTCTCTGAGTTGTGAAGAAACTAATTTCTGGCACAGTGTGACTGCTTCAAACCTATGTTCTGCTGTTATCTCCTATAAAGGAGAGCAGACTTTTTTTGTTTTATTTTAAGTGCATTGCTGGTAGGTCAAGCGGGGTGGACTTTGAATTAGTGTCCAGACTCACAGATCCTGCATGTGTGCTGTCCAGTAGAGGATTTTCTGTGACCCTAAAATAAAGAGAAAGCTGTATAATTTATCACTACTTCCTAAACAGAGAGACTAAAGTCATGGCAGTATTGGCCAAATTAATTTTAAAACCGAACGAGCCATGAATTTTCATAGAAATCGAAGAAATTAAATTTTTCCTTATCAAAGCTTCCATTTTTGAGAAGTTGGATCAGTTGTAAGACCTTTTATTTTTAACACTATATGATATAATTCTGCATTGAAAACATAAACACTTATGGCTGGGCGCGGTGGCTCACGCCTGTAATCCCCGCACTTTGGGAGGCCAAGGTGGACAGATCACTGGAGGTCGGGAGTTCGAGACCAGCCTGACCAACAAGGAGAAACCCCCATCTCTACTAAAAATACAAACTTAGCCAGGGGTGGTGGTGCATGCCTTTAATCCAGCTTCTCGGAAGGCTGAGGCAGGAGAATTGCTTGAACCCAGGAGGCAGAGGTTGCGGTGAACCGAGATTGAGCCATTGCACTTTAGCCTGGGCGACAAGATCAAAACTCCATCTCAAAAAATAATAATAAAAAAATAAAAATAGGCCGGGTGCGGTGGCTCAAGCCTGTAATCCCAGCACTTTGGGAGGCCGAGACGGGCGGATCACAAGGTCAGGAGATCGAGACCATCCTGG